TATATCATAAATTTTTTTAACAAACTTATGGTTTTCAAATTTATGAATACATATAGATCATAAGAGTGAAAAAATTTAATAAATATAATGTAATGTCATTTATCTAAATACTTAAATTTATAATTACACTTTAACTGACCATAATAATAGATATAAATTTTCTCAATGTATGTATACAAATCTTATTGGTGAGTTGAAAAATAGAGAAACAATTAAAAATAGAACTTAAAAAAAAATAGAACACTTTTATGTAGAACTAATGGTGTTGGTGAACCTAACTTGAACACCATATGAAATCACAAACCTAACTTGAACACCAAATGAGAAAGCAACTAAAAGTCAATAAAAAAATAAAAGAACGGACTGAAAAAAGCAAAAACTCTACAATAAAAGAACGGACTGAAATCACATGTTTGTGAATTAATTGGATTTAATGCTTCGAATTAATTAGAGTTATTGTGGTTATCTGTTAGCCTAATCACTAATGCATCAATTTAGAGTTATTTGACGTTACATATGTTTTAATAAGTTCATTTGTGGGTTTAACTTTGGGTAACTAATTCTAGAACAAACAAAAAAACACTAATATATTTCGGAGCCACATGAAAAGCGTTACTGGAGAAGAAAACTTGTCGCAAACATTTATTTTGAGTGAATGCGTAACACATGGAGCAATACATTAATATAATTAGGCCTGGGCAAAAAAACCGTACCCGAGTATCCGAACCGAAACCGACCCGAAAAAAACGGTTCGGGGTGGGTACGGGTATTAGCTATTTACCCTATTGGGTCTTGTATTATCGTACCCGTGGGTATAGGGTAAAACCGAATCCGAATCCGATACCCGAACGGGTACCCGATTACCCGAAATTATATATACTTATACATATAAAAACTTTTTATATATCTAATATTCGAGCTAAATACATTTATATCCAAATATCCGAGAATAATGGCCAAAAACTAAATGTACTTATATTTAAATATTTAAGACTAAATATATTTATATGCGAGATACTTGTAAATTTTTGAAATATTTGGACAAAATTCCGGTTATTCGGATAAAATGTCGGGTGAAATTAGGATATTAGGGTAAAATTTCGGGCAAAATTTGGATATTAGGCTAAAATTTTCGAGTATTTGTGTAAATTTTTGGGTATTTGGGTATAATCGGGTATAAAATACCCGAACCCGAAAGGTATCCGATTTTTTCGGATATTTAGCGGTTCTGAAAATCTAAACCCGAACCGATCCGAACCCGATTGGATCCGAACCGAAACCAAACCGATATTTTAGATTTACCCTATTGGGTCCTAAACTCCTCTACCCGAAAGATCCGTACCCGATTGGGTTTTACCCGAATCCGATCCGCGTACCCGAATGCCCAGCCCTAAATATAATGCACGCTACTATATTTCTTTATTAAAATTACATTGACTGTTATATAAGTTAGAATTTCAATCACTGAGACATTTATAAAACAATATATGAGATGACATATTAAATTTAATAATTCTTGTAAATTATATTATACTATATAAAACAATATATGAGATGACATATTAAATTTATTATGGATTATATGGATATAATATCTAAAGCTTATTGTCGAGGGAAAGTCATGAGGTCAGGAAGATCTACCTTCTGATGAGATCCAACGAAGGAAAACGGCCAATATCAACCCCAATTATCAACTCGAACCCACATAAATTTCAAATAACAAACCTGAACTATGTAATCGTTAGCCAATTTTAACATATACATGTTATTAAATAATGTAACAAACCTGAATTATTTAACCTTTAGCCAATTGAATAAAAGGAATGATTCAGATACAAAAGAACAGATAATTATGACTTAACAATTCTAATCAACATTAACAAATACAAAAAAAAAAACTATGTTGAAATTGGATAACGGTTAGATAGTTTAGGTTTGTTTTTTTTTAAAATTGTATGAGTTCGGGTTGATAAGTTCAGGGGGTCAGAGTTTGGGATTGAAAAAGCCGCATAGAAATAGTTGGAGTTGATTTTGGTCGTTTTCCCGATCCAAGGATCATGAATCAACAAACAAGAAACTGTACGATGAGGTATGATATATATATTTCCACAATAAAATATTTTATGTAAATTAAGAAAAAGTAGTGGTATATATTGATGTCATACTATCTTGAATAAAAAAAGAGCAGAATTTATTTTTTAGCAATTCACAAAAATACTTCGAAAAGGAACATAAAAGTTAATATTTTAAAAAATTCTTTTCAAAAAACTATATTAATAATCGAACGTATTACTTTAATACAAATTTCATTATTATTCAGGATTAATATTAAATATATAACCCACGCATCGCGTGGGCAGCTTTCTAGTAGGAAATAATTTTAAGTTTTAAATTAGAGAAAAAGGTTAGTTTTTTTAAATCCCTTTTCGATTTGGGTTTAAAAACATTAAGGGGGTGTATTGAACTTGATATTTTAGGAGATTTTGGGCTATTCTTAAAATTACCGTTATCCAACTGATGATTTTTAAATCTCTCCTCAAATCTTATGTTATTGAACTTGAAATTTATGTAAAATCATCTAAAAGAGTTCACAATCTCTAGTTATTCAATCAACAATTTTGAAAACTTAAATCAAATCTACTGTTATTCAAAATATCACAATTTCTTATAAAAAGTTATTGAAACTGATTGTAGGAGACTTTTTATACTTTTTTAGTTAAAAAATATGACTCAACAAATCACACCTCTAAGGGTGGTATTTGAAGAATTTCAGTAAAAAAAAAAAATCTGTGTGGCGAGAAAATATGAAAACCCATCTTCAACCACTTCTCCATCTCTTTTCATCTTCCATCGAACATGTTACAAGAGCCATCGGAGGGAAAATTGAAGAATCTACAGATTCACAATTTCAATTTTACAGATTATACATGAAATTGAGCATGGGACTTCCATCTCTTTTTTCTTCCATAAAATTTTCTTGCGTCACTACCATTCATCCTCTCCAATTGCTAAAATCCTTCGATTCTTTCGTCAATTTCGATCCCCCAAAACCTTTCTATCATATAAGTTTACAAAACCTTTCTATCATATCTTTAGACTAACACAACATCGCAAACATGCCCAAATCTAGAAGCAAAACGAGCAAAGAAGTGCATCTGATATTAGGAGAATTGGCCATATGATATTCTCATGCGTCTGAATTTTCCCAGGCTTTGGATTATATAATATTAATTGAACTCTGATATCTATAATAAAACTACATTCAAAGACGCAGTCGCTTAGTAAGAAATAAGATAAATGAGTAACTAATATATACAATCCTCATTCTTCTCATATAGCAGCTGATCTATGCTCATTTTGCCACACCAATATAGATAGATCAACTGGCCCATGATCCAAGTAAAAGTTTAATAGACTCTGCAACTCCATCTACGTAATATATCACAGGACAACAATACATTAATGATCAATGAATATAAAACAAAAATAAAACTAAACAATCATAGGTTCAATCGAAACATTCTCTAGCACTCACATTGCCGTTGAGGTTGTTGTTGTGAATTGTGATGATGATGATTGTGGTTGTTGTATATGTGGTCGTTGAACATAGACACAAACATGAATTTCTCGTCACCGTATTTGTCAAACTAGTGGTATCCGATGCCGGAGGAAGGTGGTTTGAGGAAAACTAATTAATTAAAGTTTATAGTGCTATTTGTGGAATTTTTCAAATGTAGTGCTATTTTTGGAAGAAAAACTTATTTTAGTGCTATTTTTGTCAATCTCCCTAAAATGTATCCCAAAATCACCAAAAGTTTAATTATAAATTTCAATAAATCACCAATCATTCTTCTTTTTTTCCATTTAAAAACTCTTAACAAAAAAACCAAATCTCCTAAAAACTCACTCATATCTCTCAAAAATCTATAATTTCCAAATTTCACCAAATCTCCTAAAATATCAAGTCCAATACACCCCCTAAGTGATTTATCTCGTCTTTGACAAATATATTATAACAAAAAAGGCTTATAGATTCTTTTTCTTTAGGCAATCAAAAGGATATACCCTTATAGTATCTAAGAGCACCTCCAACGTGAGTTTCTTAATAAAAGTTCTAACAATTAAAAAATAATAATAATTAAAAGTTATGCGAGAGAACAGACAGGGATTCTAAAAGTTCTTGTTTAAGAGACGGTATCAGAAACTCTTATAACACGTATAAGAAGTGGATTAAAAAATTAAAATATAATTGTAGAATTAAATTTTATTGGGTAGATTTATAAGTGGTCTAATTGTATCAAAATAACAGGGAGTCGAATTTTTCGAAACTCTCACAGTCTGAGATTGATAGAGGTCCTCTAAAAAATGAAAAGGAAACGTTTACGAGGAAATTGGGTAGATTTGTAGCTTTTAATCATTATTTGTTGTCACAAGCTTTCTTAAACTAATGATTTTATTTCATCGAATTTTGAAGGCCAAGTGATTTGGGATACTGTTGATTGGTTCATCCCAAACGTCTCTCCAATGAGTGAGATAGATTCACCAGAGCCAAGCCTCCTAATGGCTCTGCGATTTACTGATGTCACTCCTGCCTCGCACCTCAGTTTCATATCCAAGTTATGGGGGATGATCTGTTAGCGTTGAGAATCTAATTTCTTGATGATTGTTTGGATTTCTACATAAAGTCTCTTATAGTTTTGTTCTAATGTAGTAACAAATACATGTGGTGAAAAGCGATGGATTGTTTTGTTTATATTCTTCATCTTTGTTTTTGATATCTTCGGCAAATTATCTAAATTGATGACATATCAAACTGCTATTACCCTTCCGATGTGGGATAACAAAGTATACGTCATTACAAACTTGGTATCTATTTCCGATTTGGGACCATTGGTACTAAAATAATAAAGCAGGAAACTGTTACTCTCCACAATTAATTAGACAACAACACCAAACTTATCTTGTTATGGAACATATAATTATTATGACTGATATAGATGATTGGGGCTGCTGCGAACGCAAACCCTTGTCCCACAAATAATGCCGTAGGCTCTTCCACTTGGGAAGAAGACCTTAGGCTAAGCAAGTCACTAGCCTAGGCCACTCGTCTTCTTAATTGATCCCGAGTTGGTTGACTCTGCCAGGTAAGTAATTTGCTCGAACCGTCCACTTCTCTATTTATACTCCTGCTTCCCCAGTCATTGCTTTGGGTAGAAGGGATGTGGCACTTTTTTGTTTGGGGTCAACAACATGTGACAAATTCAATTGTAAACGTAAACAAATAATTCACCAATGAAATTAATGTACACCTTATTCAATTGTGTGTCGTAGTTAGCTTAGACGATTGTGCTAAGAAACTTCGATTTAACAAGAAATAATGAAAAAAATATTGACGCGTACGTCGTGGATAAGTCAGACATGTACGTTTCTGTACAATTGTACAAAGTACAAACCCATCAAAAGAGAATAAAATACAAAATCAACATATATCGTAATCTCATATGCTGTTCTCTAGCTGTAATTTAAATCCCTTTAGATATATACACTTTTGGATTGTTCAGTTCTATTTTTATAAAGACCATTTAAATTGTCTTTAATTACTCTTTTAAAAATATCCTCAATACTCTTATACAGTAAAACCTCTATAAATTAATATAGTTGGGACCATGATATTTTATTAATTTATAGTGATATTAATTTATCTATAAAAATATTAATTTATAGTGTAAATTAATATTTATTAATTTATAAAGAGAGATGTCTTATTTCTTAAAATTTTAGAAAAAATGAATTTATAAATTTTGTAGTTTTTGACTTAAATTTTTAAGGGAAATTGTTAAAAATACCCCTTTTGGTGTGCCCCTTTTCAAAAATGCCTTTTTAGATGTCCATTTTCAAAAATGCCCCTTTTTAAATCAGAAATTTTTATAATGTTTTATTAGGTTTATAAGGTACTTATGGATTGTAACTACTACTTGAAGACTCGATCCAAGTATTTATAAGGTTTTATAAGGTGTTTTTAAAGGTTTTACAAGTTATTTTAAAGGATTTTTAAGGTTTTTCAAAGGTTTTACAAGATATTTTAAAGGTTTTTAAAGGTATTTAAAATGCATTTATAAGGTATTTATAAAGTATTTATAAGATTTTAGATACATAGAAATGTAGTTTGTGTATGTTTTAATAATATTACATACATATTTGGGTAAATCTTATATTTTTAAGAGCATTTTTTATAAGGTTTTTAAAAAGGGGTATTTTTGAAAAGTGGCATTGAAAAAGTGGCATTTTTGCAAAAGCCCCAAAGAATAGTTTGAAAAAAACTTTTTCGAAAATATATTAGATAATAAAATTACAAAGACTATAGATGAATTTATTTATACAAATGATATACGTAAATTCAAATTTATGATTAATGATCTCAATTGTCGTATTTTAACAGCTATAAGACTATCGTAATGAAAATGATGCAAATTCAAAAATTAAAAACTTACATAAAATCTTGACTATTTTATGATACAGTTATAGAGTATACTACACCACTATAATTTAAAGTCACAATAGACCAATTGTTTTATTCAATAAAAGTTAGACATATCACATATGTTCTAACGAAAATTCAGTTAATATACGTTATATTAATTTAGGATATTAATGGGACCATATATTTACATAGAGATTCTAAAAAAATTATTATCTTATTATCTTATCAAATTTTATCAAATTTTACATTGGCCCGACTTGGGATCGGACAATTTTATTAATTTATAATGTTTATTAATTTATAGAGGTTCTACTGTATATCTAATATTGTATTAAATTTTTCGTGTGATTGATTCTTTCAGAAAATACACTGATATAATTATTTGGAATGATATGTATGTGTTGCTACTCGCTAGTCTTTTTTGGTATGACAAAGTGGTTGGAACACCGACACATTACGTGTTGAAACTTTTTTTATTTTTATTGTAAACATTCTACATTAAATACATATTTAAAAAGACTCATAGTGAGTGATTGGTTCGTCTGTAGCTGTAGATTTAGTGCTGTAGAATTTCTGTTGTAAGTGTGATGACTGTAGCTGTAAGTTTATTGCTGTAGAAATTAGCTTGTAGGTTTTATTAATATAATATTATTATTTAAATAAATTGGTTGTAGAAATAAGATTTTAGTTGTATATATTTTTTAACAAAAAATAATGATTGGTAAATAATACTTATGTGTTATATAATATTGTTCACAAATATCAATATAATTAATTATGATATACATATATATTAAAAAAATAATGTGAGTTATATATATATATTGCCCAAAAAAGAGTTATATATATGTCATAAAGTATATGTTTACCTACTATTTATATCCATAAAAATAAATTTTCATAATATATTTATGGATTAAAACTATAATAATGTTTTTAAAGAAAAGAAGAAAATAAAGTAGAAAGAAGAAAAAAAAACGTACAGCCCTTCTAAAGACCAAAAAGTTGTGCTTTAGAAAAACTTGTAGTTACAGCCAAAATAATTAAAAAAATATTGTTTGGGCTGTGAGAAAAAATAGGAAAGCTAAAGCATGATTGTTTTAATTTTGGGGCTGTAGCTTTTTTTGTGACTTTATAAATCTCCTACAGCCCAACCAATCATGCCTATAGTCGATTGATTTTAAATTACAACTCTTAAGACTGAACATGATTATATCATTATATAAATATGGCCTAAGTTTAACCTAAATAGGGTATGTTTTTGGGTGTTAGAAATCCCTCGTAAAAATAATTGTGGGAGACATATAATAGTAATATATTAGAGATATTCGGTAATGGGAATTTTGCCAAATGTGCCACAATTTTAGAAAATCCTAGCAAATGTACCACATTGCAAATCAATTTAGCATCCATACCACTTGTGGTGTTTGTGTGGTAGAGGTTGGACGATTTTACCCTTCTGCCTGCGTCAGAAATGTGTCAGGGGAAGGAGCTACAGTAAAAAGTTGATATGGGTTAGTTTTATTATTTGGAGACTATGCTTAGTTTTATCAAAAATAGTAAAAAGTTGGGAGACAATCATTATTTAATTAAATGGTGACAATGATTATTAGACATTAAAATATAATGCAAAGTATTAATTAGTAGGTCAAGGCAAGTAATTAATTAATAAAAACGTTTAAGGAGATGATATGGGATAAACTCGGGGACAACTTGATCGGGGACAACTGGATCTCTTGATTTTCCATCTTCAGATGATGTGGTTTTACCAGCCAGAGATCTGGATTTACTCGGGGACAACATCTCTTAATTGTCCATCGCCAGATGATGTGGTTTTACCAGGCAAAGATCTGGATTAACTCGAGGACAATTTGATCTTTATTTTATTCTGCCAGATAGCCGAAGACGAAGATCTGGATTTACTCGGGGACAACTTTGTTTTACCAGCCAAAGGGACGAAAACGATTACCAATGCGCCAGGAGAGAGAAAAAGGACGGCAGAAATTTCGGAGGGTCACATCAACGTCAGTTCCTTATCTCACCAGTTGGAGGGTAAAATGGTCATTTTACAAACACAATGTGGTATCCTATTATAATAAATCACAAGTCACTTTCCAAATAACTGCAACTCTCTCCATTTGACACCTGTCTTAAGTCTCAAATTCTACTCTTTTACTTTTCTTTTCTTTTTAAAACCAATTTACGACGAAAAAAATTAAAAATTAAAAAACTGTTCTTCATCCCCATATCCCCATGATCTCTACAATATCTTTTGGAAAAATCTTTTTGACTCAATGTATATACAAAATACTGTTACACAAATTTGTAACTAATTGCTAAAGAAAAAAATACAATTTGCTAATCATTTGAGTAAACAATAAATTGCTATACTGATTTAACCGCGCAAAGCGCGGGCTATTAAACTAGTGAATGATAATTGGGCTTCCAATGTTGTAGAAGTGATAACTTTTGGGCAAAATGTGGTACCAATGCTAATTTTCCCTTCGTTAATTCAGTGTAATCAAACGAATTTAAGTTAAATAGTATAAAACTCAAAAGTTAGAGAAAATGTTTCTAGTTTGTAATTTGCGAGTAATTTTATTTGTTCATATTTGCTAGTATTTAGATACTATGTATCATATTGGTTACTTTTAAACCTTATAGACAATTATACTAGATATGGTGTTTAATCTAGGACGATATATGGTATAATAAAAAAAAATTAGTCAATAGTAAATAATGTATGACTCACCATAAATATTAAATAGGTGAAAACCATGAATAAATAGTGCATGGTATGTGGAAGCCCCCTCGGCCCAATGGTTGACTAAGGGTTAATTAATGCTTCTACACCAAGAGGTCTGGGGTTCAAACCCCAGATACTGCGATTTATTAACAAATATGCAGATTAATGGAGGCAAGTGTGCAGGAGATCTCCAGCGATGTACAATTATAGCTGTTCGCCAGGATTCTACGCAGAGAGTAAAGTGCAGTCGTTCGGCAGGACTCTACGCAGAGAGGAATGTGTCGTCAGGTCGTGTATCATTGAAGGTGTCCATCAAGAGCATGAAGAAGGAAGTCTAGCTGTCGTGGATCCAATAAGGGTCGGAAGGAATTGTCAGTTGTAGAATCGTCTATGTAACAGTTCTCATAATTTGCAATTAATAATAAATCAAGAGGAAAAAAAAAAAAATAGTGCATGGTATATTGGTATTCAACTACTTATTATTTTACGGTAAACCATACATTATCTTTTTTTTTTGATAAAGTATAAACCATACATTATCTAATAAATAATCTAAGGTTAATAGTGCATCCTTCACTATGATAGAGTGTATCATCGATAAAACAGTTTATTGTCTATCTGTTATCTTTCTTTTTTGTTAAATACCATTTGGAATGACAATCGAATGAAACATTAACCACTTGTCTAAAAACACTTCTTTTTCTTTCGATACGTTTTTTTTTTTTTGAATTTAATTAATACAGACCAACCACTCTACAATTAATTTAGAGGAATACTCTTCGTGCATGTGGTTATTGAGAAATTATTTATTTTTCGTCGTCACTCGGAACAAATATCCTCTTCAGTGAAATAATGTGTCCAACCAGTTTGTACAAAAAAAAAAAATTGTCCAGCCAAGAGCCCACACCAAACGTCTTTTTCAATT